CTCTCTCTCTCTCTCTCTCTCTCTCCCTTTTTTCCGACTTTGTCTTGGCAGCCGCATCGCCGATGTCACAACGCCCGATCGCCCGATGGAGCTTGCTTCCTCTCGCATCACAGTCGCACGCTTGCTTGCCATTCATCAAGCACACATGTCCACAACCAAGATAGATTGAGCAGCAGTTCCATCAAGGTGCAAGCAACAATGAAACATCAGCTCATCGACGCATGACATCGGTGAGCGGCAGCAGGCACCACACGCGCCGCTTGTACGCCTCGTGCTGGGTGCGCAGTTTGCTCGCGCTGAACTTGGCCTCTTCGTCACGGATGGCGTGGTAGAAGATGGCGAAGGACACGAGGAATGCGGACATGGCAATGCCACCAGCATGCGAGACGAGGTAGGGATGGTCGTGGTCCGGGTGGTTGGAAGAGCTCGTGACGATGAAGCCGGCAAGCATGGTGGCGAGGTATGCCGAGTAGAACGGATTCCTCACCAAGGCCCAAGGCCCCGTGGTGATGAGGAACGTAGGCTCGTCGGCGCTGAAGCACGCTGTGAGTGCAGACTTGCTCAGCATGTGGAAGCGCGCCCACCAGAAGAAGAGCAGGCTGTAGACGACGAGCAGGAGGCCGATGAGCGTCTGCGTTGAGTCCGCCGACTTGGGCAGCGCAAAGAAGATGGCCACATCCGGCACAACGTAGCAGATGGCGAGCAGGGGCACGTAGACGAGCGTGCGGATGCTCATGTGCGACTTGGCAAACGTCAGCGGCGGTACGGTGCAGACCGTCAGGTCGGTGACGAACTTGAGCACCACAAACGCCTGCTTGAGCGTCGTCAGCTCGCGCCACACACCGGGCATGTCCGAGACGAGCGACTTGACCACATCCATCCTTGCAGCGAGCGCTTGGCGACTGGGCAATCTCCGTTTGGTGAGGTTCTGCCGCGTATCGATGGATGGCGGTTCCAAGCGAGGTTCAAAGTGAAGCGGTGATCAAAGCGACTCGGCGTGGACCCTGGGTCTGGCATTGCAGCAGCAGCACCGCCGCTCGGCAACCTAACAGATTCAAAAGTGCCCGGCCCAGCACGGCACAGCCAAATGCAGCAAGGCGTCCGTGCATCAACAAACACTTGGCTTCCTCGACGCTGCTCTGCCTTTCGTCACTTCTTCCAACACTCGCCCTCACCGACCAGCAACACCGCATCCTTGGTGTCGAACCAAAATGGCGTCAATAGGCCATCATCGCAGCACAATACGCAGCTCGCTGTATGCGCTCGTCGTGCTGCTCGTGCTCTGCCTCGTTCGTCCAGCATCGGCATTCACCGTCACCATCTCGGAAAAGGATGAGCTGCGCCAGACCTGCTCCGGCATGATCGCCGGCGGCGACAGCCACATCGAGGCCATCTTCCACAAAAACTCCACCGGCACCGTCGCCACCATGTTCTACGAGTTTGCCGACTTTGACAAGCTCGGCAAGCAGTCCAACGAGCGCGATGCTTTCGGGTTCGCCCTCAGGACCTACATCTGCACGCCGGGCGCCATGCAGCAGTCGCTCTGCACACAGGAGCAGCTCGGCAACTTTATCGTCGACGAGGCCGGCGGAAAGGCCACCACGGTCCAGCTCAAGAGGCTCGACTTCCCCGCCACGGGATCGACCGATGAGACGACGCTCGTAGGTACCCTTGCCCAGCTCGGCAAGTGTGTGGGAACGACACTGACTCTTGCGCATCTGAACAACAGCGATACAACGTGACCAAGACCGGATACTACTGCTTCGGTGCGAGTGAGCTGCCCCCCGCCATCCACCAGAGCCTCGCGTCGGCCTGACTACTGACCACTGTTGCCTTTTACCTTTGCCTGTTTTCGCGCAGCCGAAGTGCCGCTCGTATCGCTCGAGGATGCAGTCAAAGGTGGCGGCGGCGACGTCGCGGTGCATGCTGCGTTCACGGGCCGCGTCGAGTTTTTCAACAAGTTCAAAGGCAACCTGCCTGCAGCCGAGCATCCGAAGCTGATGTTCTACTTTGCCATGACGCTGGCGTACGTGGTGCTGGGCGTGTACTGGCTGTCGCTCTGCATGCGCCACCGCGACCAGCTGCTGATGGTGCAGCACTTTATCTCGGGTACGATCGCCTTTCTGGTGGTCGAGATGGCGGCGCAGTGGGCGTACTACTACTACCTCAATGCGCATCTCGTCGACTTCTTCCGCATCCGCGAGGTGAACGGCAACACGGCCGTCACGGCGCTGGCGCGCTTCCTGCTCGTGCTCACCAGCATCCTCGATGCTGGCCGCAACTCGGTGTCGTTCTTCCTGCTGCTCATCGTCGCCATGGGCTACGGCGTCATCCGCCCGTCCATCGGCCCCGTGATGACGAGGGTGCGCTGGCTCACCGCCGCCCACTTTGTCTTTGGCGTGCTCTACTCGGTCGGCATCGTGCTGATTCAGCTCGACCAGGGAGGTGCATGGATCTTTGCCTTCATCTTCCCTCTCGCCATGACGCTCACCGCCTTCCTCACCTGGATCATGAACTCGCTCAACCGCAGCATCGAATACCTCACCCAGCGCAAGCAGACGTTCAAGCGCTCCATGTTCGTCAAGCTCCACCGCATTCTCCTTGGTGCCGTGGTGGTCATCTTTGCCTTTTTCATCATCTCCTCGCTGGCATTCTCGCAGTCGGGCGGCGAGGGATTCGCACCCAACACGTGGCAGTACCGGTGGTTCCTGCTGGATGGCTGGTTGGGGCTGCTGTACTTTGGCGTGTTCTGCGCGATTGCGTGGGTATGGCGCCCGACGGGGCACAACATGCGGCTGGCCATGTCGGACGAGCTTGCGACCGACGACGATCCCACCGCTGAGGGGTACGAGGTGGACACGTTTGCGCGCGGTCCCGACGGTCCGGATAGCGAGGACGAAGACGACCTCGAGGCGCGTGCCACATCCAAGGGTGGTGCGGGCGCGCGCGGCGTGCAGGACGATGTCGTCTTCGAGATCGGCGACGAGGATGACGATGCCGATCGCAGCAGGGAGGGCGGTAGGAGCGACGCGCGCACCGCCACGCACGGCGAGAGACAGGGACTCATGGGTGCCGGCAACAACTCGGAAGAGACGCTTGTGCCCGGAAAGAAGGCAGACAAAAACGATTAGCCGTCACTCCGCACTAGCATAGAAAGACCTTCATTCCTCAGAGTCGGGAGCAGTTGGACAAGCGGATGTGGTTGTTGAGTTGTGCGATTCAGCGTAGGTGGGACTTGTTTTTCGTGCGAGAGAAAAAAACCAGGCGCGCGGTTACGAGAAGAAGGCGCCTTTGGGATTTTTGCCCTTCCAACTGGACACCATCATCTTGATCATCTCGACGCTCCTTATCTCCATTGCGGCCTCATTACAATCATGTGGACTTCGACACGGGTAGCCGTTCGACTCGGCACGTCTACATTCCGGTTTCAGCTTCCAGCGCTTGCATCGTGGACTGGATCGTCGTCGTTGACGCCTGCACTTGCTGGACTCCCCACCCCCACCGCTGGTTCGGCACCGTCAGAGTCGGGATTGGCAGGGTTGTGGAATGGGATCCTGCTCGCTGTGCCAAAGAAGAAGGTTTCGCACTCGCGAAAGTCGATGCGCGCAGCCAACAAGGGTCTGAAGGATAGGGTGGATCTGGTGCATTGCAGTGCGTGCGGAAAGCCCAAGCTGCAACAACACATTTGCGCTTACTGCTACAACGAACTCAACCGTGCAAGGAAGAGCGCTCTCGCTCAGTCGACCGATGCAACAGCCAAGACACAACCCGAACCAACGCAACAATAAGACAAAACCCAGTAGCCTTTTGGAACGACCCGTACGCCAACCTCGCATATGGAACGGCCGGTCCGAAATGTACCTCGACACCGGCCGTGGCAACTGGATCACACTACGCCCCATTGGCAGCCTGCATTTCTTCTCACTCTGTACTCTATTCCTCCCCTCGCACTTCGACGCAACTTTTTTTCTCTGCCGCACAAGACTCAACTTCGGCTCGCAGACAGAGACGCACGCTAGCCGCAACGGCGTAGCCGACAAGATGGCGAGATTCTTTCTTTTGAGATTTCACAAACCGACGCCTAATTTTGGGAGGGTAGATGATTGGTTCAGGCGCCGTTCTTCTCTGCGTCTGCGAGGTGGTGTCGGAAGAGCTTTTCGGCGCGCTGCCACACTGCGCCCTTGCCCTCTTCGAGCGTGTCGAGCTGCGTGGTGTCCTTGCCGAGCACGAGGGGCAGCTGGAGCAGGCTGGGGAGGAGGTCGTTGCTGAAGCCCTCGGAGCTCTCGCGCGGGAGGAGCGTGGGGAGGTGATCGATCGAGATGACGCTGAGTGCCGGGTTGCCTGCACCCGTGTCGACGTCGACGGTGGGCTTGTCAAAGGTGGTGTTGATGCTGTAGATGGGCAGCGGGTTGTTGGGGTTGGTCGTATCGCACGACACGTCCACCACCACCCCGAGACGGCGCGAAGCACCCGCCGCCTGGATGGTCGCCTCGTCCAGGAAGGGCGGGATCTTGGAGGTGAGGTAGATGCAGTTGACAAAGATGTCGACGTCGAGCAGCTCCTGGTACGGTCCGTGCTTGGCCGAGGTCTCCTTCATGTCCCAGCGCACAATGTCCTCGGGAGCCACGCCGGCCTTTTCGAAAAAGTCGATGGCGCCGCGACCGCACCTGCCGAGCGCACCCACGACGAGCGCCTTGACCTTGCCGTCGGCGCGCGACTTGCGGATGTGCTCGATCTGCTGCTTGGCGTGTGCGATGAGCGCCTGCTCGTTCGGGTACGCCTTCTGCGCGCCCAGACGGCGCTCGAAACCCTGCACCTGCTCGGCGAGCGCCAGCAGGCCGAGCGCCGCGCCGGCGAATCCGGCGTGCCAGCCAAAGGCAGCGACACGACGGCCGTTGCTGTCCTCGAGGAACTCGAGATCATAGAGCTTTCCGCCGCCGCGCTTGAAGCGGCCGAGCACGTCGACCCAGCCGGCCTGCTTCTTGTAGCAGTGCGCAAACTGGATGTGCGTGTGCGGCAGATCCGGACCGGGCTCCTCGAGCTCCTTGAGGCCGATGATGGGGATGTGCTTGGGGAGCGAGTGGAAGGTGTTGTGCTTGGCGATGGTGCAGCCTACGTCGGCGTACTCCTTGTCGTCAAAGATACGCTGCGGGTCCGACTCGACCGTGATGTCGAAGCCGGCCTCGATGAGCTTCTTGGCGGTGGTGGGCGTGAGCGCGGCACGGTGCTCGGCCGGCTTCATCTCGCAGCGGAGGTAGAGGGGCTGTCGGTTGGCGGCAGACATGGTGTCGGATGGCTTGCAAAGGCAAAGGATGTGGTTGATGGAGCGGAAGAAAGCGGTGAGGCTGAGGCGCCCTCCAGATATAGATTAGTGCTTCACTCGGCGTGGCAAGTCCCAGTGAAGTGAGGTGGTGAGGCGCTTCGGGATTGTGCCGTGTCTGCGCAGCAAGCTTGGCGCGTGTTTCTTCGGAAGGTCCGGGCGGGCGATGCACGGTCGAGTCAGGCAGAGTGGCAGCCAGCCAGCCAGGCAGACAGACAGGCAGGCAGACAGGCATGCGCAACGTGACCGCATCCAGCGCCGCCCTTTCTTCTGGCGCAATCAAAAAAAAGGCGCCCTTCCCCTTCTCGGCCTTTCGCCGAATGGCCGGGATGGAGGCGACGCTCAAAGAATGTGAGATCGCAGCAGTCTTTGGCCCTGAAACTCGAATATCGATCGGCTCTACACAGTCGGCCTCGGATCCGCGAGATCGTGCTTCACGGCGCGCCGATTCGCACTCTCTCTCGCTCTCTCCACGTCGCCAGTCGCGTCGAGCGGCGGCGGCAGCTGGTGATTTAGAGCAGCAGACCCTGGCATTCTCAAAGGCGAAGAAGCCGCCTTCGCTTCGCATTCATATCCGACCATCATCTGTCTTTTTGCTGTCGTTTTGTTGGTCTACGTTGTTGTAAGTAGCGCGCACCGTCAGAGTAGAAGAAAAATTCAAGTGACGCCATCCCGCTGACTGTGACCGCATCTCGTCATCACGACTGCGCTCGTCCGGGCGACTCCTCCTTGTTCTCCTGCATGGGTTTTGGATCCGGCTAGACCGTCTCGCTTGTCATCTCGACCGCACCACAAACAACTGAGTTGCAATATGGATGACGACAAGTTCGATCTGTACAGTGTGAGTCTGCGCTGCCCGCTCTCCAATGCCTCGCGCCCGTTGCTCACTGCGCGTCTTTTTCCTTTGTCGAATACGGCATTCTGGACGTCTAGGACGATCTGTACTCGGATGTCCTGGGCAAAGCCGAAGATGAGCAGCACGTCAAGCAGGAGCCCGTCTCGGACTTGGTGAACGCCGACGCGAGCGGCGCCTCGGCATCCACCACCGCCGGCTCGGGCAAGCGACAACGAGCCGACTCGATCGACGAGAAGCCTTCCACCTCGGCGTCGTCTTCTACGCAAGCACAGCCCGTACAGTCGTCCAGTAGCGCGTCTGCGCCGTACGCATCATCGTATCAGCGTCACCAGGATGAGCCCATGGCAGCGTCGTCGTCGCTTCCGCCGCATCCGTCGTCTTCCACCGCCCCACCCGTACGCAGCACCATGTCCACGCTCGCTGGGCGACCCAAGGTGACAGATCCGAACGTGCAAAACGCGGTGTACATTGGCGATCTCAACTGGTGGTCTACTGACGAAGAGATCCGTCAGATCGCCGCGTCCGTCGGCGTACCGCTCAGCCTCAACGACATTACCTTCTCCGAGCACAAGGTCAACGGCAAGAGCAAGGGCGTCGCGTACGTCGAGACCGACAGCGAGACCGACGCGCGCAAGATCAAGACGTGGTTCGACGAAAACGACTTCCAGTTCCGCCGCGCCAACGTGACGCTCACGACGAGTGCGAACGGCAACCCCTTCCGCACGCTGCCCAAGGATCCGCTGCCCAAGAACGAGCGTTCTCAGCGCGGCGGAATGGGCGGGGGAGCAGGACGCGGTGGAAGGGATGGAGCTATGGGCGGTAGGGGGCCACCGCCTCCTATGGCAGGTGCGCCGATTCGAATGGGCGGCAACGCAGCACCGCCCATGGGACTTATGAACCCCATGATGATGGGTATGATGGGCGCAGGCGGGCCAGGCACAGGCTCCAATGGCGGAGGCATGGCTTCCGGTGCGAATCGCTCCTACGGCCGAGGCGGTGGGCGAGGCGGAGGCAATGGCTGGGGCAACCGTGGCGGTCGTGGCGCCTCATCCGCCGGCAGTGGCGGTGGAGGAGGACATTTCAACCCCAACTTTTTCGGAATGCCTCCAGGAGGCATGATGGGCATGCCCGTGCAGATGGGCGGTGCCATGCCAATGCAAGGACTCCCCAATCCGCCCAATGCAGCCCAGCACGACGACCGAGAACGCAAACGTCACCGCATGGAAGAAAATTAAACCCCCATCTCAAAGCTCTCTGCATCTCTCGCTCTCTCTCTCTCTCTCTCTCTC